CCTGTGCTAGCATTTCATGGTTCATGATTCTTCCAGCATGTGGGTTATCTGCTCAGAATTAGTTGAGGTAAAAAAAAAAAAAAAATTGGAACAGGCTACTCCTCACATTGTCTCAGAAACTAGGGAATCTCTTTGAAATCCTTTTTTTTTTTTAATTTTGAAGTTGTTATCTGTGTTCAGTGTCAGAGAAAAAAGTCTTTTTTTTTTTTTTGCATCATGAATTTTAGAGCAAGAAATTTATTTTAGGTGTAATATTTTATTGTCAAGTATGCTTCTTTCTCATAATATCATTGGAAGCCATACATATTTTTATAACATGAAACACACATACATTGGTTAGTACAATACAATACATTGGTTAATACAAACTTACTGTGAACTAGGAAGACATCCCCAAATGACCTACTTCTTCTTTCTTCTTCTCTGGAGAACTTTAATTTCATGAGCCCCAAAAACATTTTTAAAAACCAAAACTGTTTAATTAAGGAAGGACAGGCCGGGCGCGGTGGCTCACGCCTGTAATCCTACCTCTCTGGGAGGCTGAGGCGGGTGGATTGTTTGAGCTCAGGAGTTCGAGACCAGCCCGAGCAAGAACGAGACCCCGTCTCTACCAAAAATAGAAAGAAATTAATCGGACAGCTAAAAATATATAGAAAAAATTAGCCGGGCATGGTGGCGCATGCCTATAGCCCCAGCTACTCGGGAGGTTGAGGTAGGAGGATCCCTTGAGCCCAGGAGATTGAGGTTGCTGTGAGCTAGGATGACGCCACGGCACTCTAGCCTGGGCAACACAGTGAAAAAAAAAAAAAAAGGAAGGACAATAGGAATATCTGAGAACATGATTCCCACCTTTGATAGCAATAGGAGGATGGTGCTGAGGAAGCAGAGCTGAGTGTCAGAGAGCTGAGCTGAAAGCTCCGCCCACCTCTTGGACACCGGAAGCTCAGGCACGGCCCCATGCAGTGGCACCTCAGAGCCTCAGTTACGGATTCTGCATCCACAGGGTCGCAGTGAGGATCCAGTGAGAGCATGTCTGCAAGGAGGCTCTCAGAGCTGTAAAGCACTATTTAAACAGCTATCTGCTTGTGGCAAAGCCACATGAAATTGGTCCTGTCATCAGGAGCACCCACTATGCTGTAATCAAAGCAGGTTGAAGAATATATTAATAGTTTCTTAAAATTGATGACCCATCTGTGATAATAAGTTGTTCTGTTTTGATCTCCCCCACCTAAAATTCAATAATTCAAAGAATTGGGAACAGCTGGGACTGGACAATCACATCTTTTTTTTTTAAGAGAGGGTCTCACTTTGTCACCGAGGCCGGAGTGCAGTGGCCTGATCATAGCTCACTGCACCCGCAAACTCCTGGGCTCAAGTGATTCTCCTGCCTCAGCTTCCCGAGTAGCTAGGACCACAGGTGCCTGCCATCATGCCCAGCTAAGTTTTTTATTTTTTTGTAGAGACGGGGTCTCACTTTGTTGCTCAGGCTGATCTCAAACTCCTGGGCTCAAGTGATCCTCCCACCTCAGCCTCTCGAAGAACCGGGATTACAGGTGTGAGCCACTGTGCCCAGCTAAGACAACCACATTTTAAGGTGGTGACGAAACACATTCTGAGCCTAAAGGAAAACACACACACCCCAATTAGTTGCGCTTCCTACAAATAATGATACCAGAATCCAGCCTTGCAAAAGCAGTTTCTTCTTGCCTACACGTCAATGCAGGGAAATCAAGTCGTGTGTGGTTGCTTTTGTTCTCCTTATGGCTCTGGGTGGACTGGAAAATGAGGGATAGAGACCAAAACAAATCTGTGGTCAAAATCTGCAGTGTCCCACAAAGCCAGTGTCCCACAATCCCATCCTGAGGTCTTGAATGTGTCCCTTCAATAGGATTCTAGATTTCTCCCCATTAATTGCTAACATGTTACCCAATATATAGCATCAAAAAGTTGTAGCAACCTGAAGTTGTCTTTCTGTGGTAGCAGCTTTGCTGCAGCTTTTTCCGCCTTTACCAGTATTGATCACATCATCGCAGGCTGTGCCTTGGCTCCATAATTGTGGGTCATAAATGGCATTTACATAAAATCTGTGCCTGGATTTATACTGTCCCTCTTTGTCAGTTCACAAGATTTAGTATCCCATTTCATGCCCCCAAAACCTAGTTCAGTACCGTGGAAAGTCACCATTGTACACACAAAGCCTAACTCCATACTGCAGACGTAAGGTGACAAAGGTCTGACTGGAGGAGAGTCAGCTTGGTAACGCAAAGACTCACCCACAGGCACACGGAGCGGGACCTGGTAGTTCATGGGTTGAGTTTTCTCAGGCTGTGCCTCACTGAAGATGCAGCTGCAGAGCAGCGGGGTGTAAACACCTCATCGATGTTTCCTGAATAAGCCCACTCACTGCCTTTTGCTCCTTGTCCAGTCGACATTCTGAAGTTCTTGCCTTTCATGCAGAACACACCTAGCATTTGAAAAGAAACAGGATTTAGTGCCTCTTAGTGCTTCCAGGCACTATTTAGCATCTTTTTCACCAAAGCCAGAAGTGTTTGCCATCCACCGCTAGCTTGTCCGTGTGTGCGTGTGTGTGTGTGTGTGTGTGTATAGGATACCAGATTAATTTTATTTACAAAAGATTCACATAGGAACCACGAGGTTTATTGAAAGTCATTGGAAAATAACACCCTCCAAATATCCCATTCACCTGGGCTTTCGTGTCGCGTCATGGAGTCATCCTAGCTGAGGCAGGGCCTAGACTGCTGTGAGCCCTCGGCAGCGGCTGGGGGACAGGTGCCCTGGCCAGGTGAGCGGAGGTGGGGTGGGGGAGGAGGACACCACTAACTTACAGGACTAAATCTGTAAGAGCCGCACAATGTGGTCTCAGCCCGTCTATAACCTCACTAAGGACACGATGACATGGCTTTGGGCCCCTCACATGACCTCTCTAAATATCAGTTTCCTTATCTGTAAAATGGGAGAGTGGGGAGGCAGGGTTGGATTAGATGGTCCTTATATGCCCAGCTCTGAAATGCAGTGATTTCAAGAGGGGAAGTCGGGGGGAGGCATGTGGGGGGGGGGGGGGTGGTTTCACTGAGGAGTAATTAATGTTTTTTTCTAGTCACGGAAGGGAATTAATTAATGTAAATATGTCCCTGAATGACCACTCCATTAAAAAGCTCTTCTCTCACATGGAGTAGCTCTGGATACACAGGCAAATCTAAAAAAACAAGCAGTAAAATTGCCCCGAAGGCATATGTTCTAAAAAGGATGGCAAGACTGTCTTTAAACAAGTACTTTAGGGGCAGTTTACCTCAAGAGAGCGTTAAAGCAGCCAAACAACCTCATTTAACTGACTCTCGCATCAAAGTGAATTAGAGGCGAGAGGCTGGTGTAAAGCGCCAGCCAGAGGCTGTCCCTGCAAAATGGTACAACCTCTATGGGGAGCAGTTTCGCAAAAATCTATGAAAATTATAAATATATTTACTCTTTGTCCAGGCCATACCCCCTCTTAGAATTTAGCCTACAGAAATAGGTGTATGAAGTGACATTTATGCAAATTTATTCACTGTGCCACTTTTTCCAAAATAGTCAAAGATTGGAATCAACTCAATAGTCTGTCGATAAAGGACTAGTTAAAAAAAATAACAACTATGGTACCATCCATATAATAGAATACTGTGCAACCCGTAACATTCTGTACTGATATGGAAAGTTCTCCAGGATATAATGATAAGTGAAAAAGCAAGTGGAAGAACAGTATTTGATAGAATAGTATTATATTATAAACCCATAAGTATGTACAATAAAAGTGTGATACTTCTGTGTGTAAGAAATGGAGGTCATGAGAATATATATTAATATTTAGGCCAGACACGGTGACTCACACCTGTAATCCTAGTGCTCTGGAGGCCAAGGCAGGAAGATAGCTTGAGTCCAGGAGTTTGAGACCAGCCTGAACAAGAGCAAGATACCATCTCTACAAAAAATAGAAAAATTAGCTGGATGTGGTGGCACACACCTGTAGTCCCAGCTACTCAGGAGACTGGGGCAGGGGGATCGCTTAAGCCTAGGAGCTTAAGGTTATAGTGAGCTATGATGAGGCCACTGCACTCCAGCCTGGGTGACAAAGTGAGATTGTGTCTCAAAAAAAAAAAAATACATATATATATATATATTTATATTCAAGTGTATCCCTGGATATCTGGAAGTCATTTCTTATGTACCTTGAAAGAAATTTCTGTAAGTGGTTACCTATATAAGTGGTGAGGAATTAGAAAAATGATAGAGATGAAGACATGGGTGGGAATAAGAATTCTCACCAAATGCCTTTTTATAAAATTTTTTTCTAAATTTTTTTTCAACCACCATGGACTACTCTATAAGGAATAGAGCATCTGTTTGATTAAAAAACTAAAATGAAAATTTTAAAGGCAGGCATCAATAAAAGCTGGTCACTCCACCTTCCCTTGTTTTATGCTCTGATTCAAGGATCGGCAAGCTATGGCCAATGAGTGGTTAAATAGTTGCGACGGGCACCATGTGGCTCACAATGCTGAAAATACTACCTGGCCCTTTACAGAAAAAAGTTCCCGAGCTTAGTTTTAAATTACAGAGTTATTCTCGAAACAGCTGTGACCACACCTCTCAGTAAGCTGCCGATACTGAAAGGTTTTGTCCTCTTGAAGTCAGCTTTTCTGTCCACAGATGGCTTATGCACCAAGAAGATGAGGCAAGCTCCTGTACTGGTTAAAAAGAGAGTGTGGACTCTGGGGACAGATGCCCCAGGTTTAAACCTGAGCTCTATCCCTCACTATTGTGTGACCTTCAGCAACTTAACTTCTGGAATTCTCAGTGTCTTCATCTGTTAAATCTCGTCTCTCTTAGAATTGTTCAGAAGTGCCTCTCTCAGTTGTTTGAAAGTTTAAGTATGTTAATGTTGGCCAGGAGTTTAGCACAATACCTGTTGTTATTATCATCTCATATTGTGATTTTCTTAACAGGGTGATGACCAGTTAAATGTATTTGGAGAGGATACCATGGGAGGTGAGTTTCCCTTACTGATCATACCAAAGTTTTCATTTTAGTACCTTTGAGCATGCCTTTTTTATTAAACACCAACTATTAGATTAAAAAATACCAACAGTACCAAATACTTTTCCCTTAGCCAGGGAGCCTGACTAATAGTGGATTCTTTGGATCTCTCCTGCCTTGGTCCACATAAAGAACCAAAGGGATACATCACTAAGAGATGTGTTTCCTAATTGCCCAGAGCATATGATTCCTGAGATGTTCAGTGAAAAGATACTCTGGTCAAATATGTTTGAGAAACACTTAACATTCTATCCCTATTGGAAGAGTCACACGTATATTAGCATAGCAAGGCTCCCACGAGTCTTACGGTAAAGAGAGCTGTCTAACTTTAATCCACTCTTCAAACTTAATTGGAACACAAAAGTCTTTTTCCTGTATAGTAGTTACTATTCTGCACTGTACCATTGGGACCCAAGTTAACACACACCAGGGTTATACTGCTTTGTAATTTTTGTAATATTAAAAGTCTTGCAAAAACTAAAAAAATCCCCCCATAATTAGCTGTAGGTATAGCTGAAAACAGATAAAATCATGTGAATTTGAGACTTTCCAAAAAGATACGGTTCATGATAGTCCTAGATAAAATAACCTTCTAACATTTCCACTTAGTTATAGAAGTTGTTATGATATGGTTCATGGAAATATGTTTACAGTGTTGACTCTGAACACATCCAAGTAAGTAATTTGGCTTTTTAAATAACCCCAGCTCTAACCCTGCACTGATCCCTGAGCATGAGGTGGTAGATAAAGTGTCATTTGATGCTAATGGCAATAGCAGTATGTGAAAATAACAGTCACCAAATGACATCATGGTGATTCATGGAGAGAGGCACAAAAATATGAGCTATAACTTAGTTGTCACTTAGCTAAGTGCAAATAATCGACTCAGTCTCAACTGGATAGGGGATGATTGATTGCCTAATACAGTTTTCTTTTTTCCTGGTTATAAAATTAATACATACTCACTGTAGAAATGTTTTTAAGGTAGAAAATAAGAGCCATTTAAAACCTTATGACCTTTAACTTACTATGCTTAACATTAGAGTATATTGCATGCCAGTGTGTTGCCTATATATAATTTTTTTATGTAATTGAAAATACATGTGTATATATAAGTATTATCTCCAAATTTTGTATATATATCATAACATAAATATGTTCCCATGTCATTAAAAACTCTATAAACTTAATTTTTAGTGACTGCATTGTATGAATGTACCATCATTAATTCAAAATAACTATTTTTAAAACTGAAGTAGGATACAGCCATACCAAAATAAATAAATAAAGAACAACCATAACCACTTTCCTAGCTTGCAAATAGATTCAGTGTTGCTCAGCTTCACAAAAGTAAACTCCCAGCCTGGAGAACATGAGATGACCATCTGGTCTCATGTATTAGGAACACCAGTGTATCTTTAATAGAAAAATCCAGACAACATAAGATGTTTCCAGTCACCATGGGCTACTCTGTAAAGAGATTGGATTTGATGAAGAAGAACAAAAAAATTCATCCTTCGCTTTGAAAAACAAATGGTTCCAAAGATTTCAAAGTCACTTCTTTCCTCTTCCTCCAGCTCTTTCTCCCCTCTCTGTCCCTGACCTAATTCTCATGCCTGGTTCCCTTGGTCTCTGTCTCTCTGTCTGTCTCTGTCACTTTCTTCCTTTCGTGCTCTCTCTCTCTATCTCTGTCTCTATGGTAGAGTTGAGGCTTTCGCTCAGCTAATTGTGGATTTCTACAAAAATGTAACGTTGGGTATATAAATGAACCACCCCAATCTTCCTAAAAAATAAGTTTTATAACTGTCAGAACAATGATCTAACTTTCAAAAGTAGTTATCACTACATAAAATATGAAGTGTTACTTAACTACATTTATTTTAAAAGAAAATTTTATTTTGCTACCTTAAATGGAAAATAACATTTGCTCTAAATAGAAACTATTTTTTTAAATATTGTTTTCCAGACACTCTACTTGTGATTTTTAAGCCCTCTTTATTAAAAGGGAACTTAGCAAATGTTTAAAAATATGAAATAACACCAAACTGAGATTCTTAGGAAAATTTAGAAGTAATTTTTAAAATTAGCTTTCTTTGTAATGCATGCTATTTAATGACATCAGTCTTACCACCTAAAATTAATAGTGCATGTTAAAATGAAAATATTAATATATTACCTGGGTCTGGGAATAAGGCCGAAATGGTCATCAGTCAACTATTACTTGTAACCTATTAATGCATTTATTCAACTTCAATCTTCTTATGCTGTGGTCCCCGACCCCTGGGCTGCAGACCAGTCGGTCATGGCCTGTTAGGAACCGGGCCACACAGCAGGAGGTGAGCACTGGGCCAGCAGCGAAGCTTCATCTGTATTTACAGCCACTCCCCATCCTCGCTTCACCCCCTCAGCTCCACCTCCTGTCAGATCAGCGGCAGCATTAGATTCTCACAGGAGCGCAAACCCTCCTGTAAACTAGGTTATGAAAATCGAATGCCTGATGCTCTGAGGTGGTGCTGAGGTGGCGATACGAGCACTGGGGAGCAGCTGCAAATACAGATCATCATTAGCGAGATGTTTGCCTGCACAGTAAATGTGATGTGCTTGAATCATCCTGAAACCATCCCCTACCCTGGTCCATGGAAAGATTGTCTTCCATGAAACCCGTCGCTGGTGCCAGAAAGGTTGGGGACTGCTGTTCTTGTCAAATAAAACTACAGGATTTGGGATTTTACATAACATGAGTAAAACCAGGGCTTTAATACAATATTTCTTGCCAATAATTTCAGTTATTCTTGCTTTAAAGGCTTCGTGGAAGATTTGAGGAGGTGTAAAATTATTTTCATGATTGGTGAGTAACAGACCTCACGTTTTCTAATACAATTGCTAATAAAAAGAACTTGGTAGCAAAAAAAGGCTATTCATTTCTCACCCTGTTTTGAAGTCTTGTCCATTTTTCAGTCAAAGTAACACCCCTGAGGTTTCCAGATTGTTGCTTTCCTTTATGCGGTTTATATATTGCTTTTGGATTATTTTTTCAGCATAGAAAAAGTAAGACTCTAAGAAATGTCAAACTTCTAAGTTTAGCTCTACAATAATAAAGTATATTATAAGGGTAAGAGGATGCCATATGTTAAAATTTAACACATACCTTTTCTGTTTGAACAATGACCCCTTCCTTCCTAAATTGAATGCATCAGTGACCACATATTCAAATATACCATACCTTATATTCTACACAGTAAAAATCTGATATGTTCTTTTTCCCAGTGTAGTGAAACTCATTGGTAATTGTTGGGTAAAATGTCTTTGGGGTTTACCAACATTTTCTGAGTACCTACTGTTCTCTAGGTTATCGTGTTTAATCCTTACATAATCCTATAGGTTGGCGGTCTATCCCTATTACATTACAGGAAAACTGAGACTTAGGAAGGTTAAAGAACTTGTCCAAGATCACATAGCTAACGAGTGTGAGAGCTGGATTTCCAGTTTTCCTTGTGGAAATAAAGGGAACTTGTGTAGCAATTTAAAATGCACTGAAGACAGCCTGAACAACATAGTGGGACTCCATCTCTACAAAAAACAGAAAACTTAGCCAGGAATGGTGGTACGTGCCTGTAGTCCCAGCTACTCCAGAGGCTGAGGCAGGAGGATTGCTTGACCCCAGGAGTTTGAGGCTGCTGTTAGCTATGATGATGCCACTTGCACTCTGGCCTGGGTGACAGAGAAAGACCCTGTCTCAAAGAAAAACAAATGCACCAAAGAGCACAAGCATTATCAGAGCACCTCCCAAAACTTAGTACTTTTTCTTCTAAGCATTCAAACATATCAAAAAATTAATACACCTACCTGTATATTTTCCAGAAAATATTTATATTTAGGAATAATGAAAAGGTCCACACCTCCTCAGTAAGTGGGAAAAGAATGGTTGTCAACACCACTGTAATATAAGGAGATAATGTTACAATTTTGCATACTAAAGTCAGGACCTTCCTTGGAAATCTCTGAGTAAATTTCCCTCATTGTCAGATGAGAAAACTGAAGCCCAGAGAAGTGAAGGGGTGTGATCAAGGTCATTCAACCAACTGGTGGCAGAGAGGGGACCAGGGTCCACGGCTGTAGTTCCTCATGCTAGGGTCCCCCCTCTTCCACTGCTCAGCCATGTCGTTACCTGAACTCCAGCTGTCTCACACCTTCAGCCGTCTGATGGACACTTACTGGATATTGGCTCCGTGCTGGGCAGTGAGCAGGATTCACAGGCTTCCGTCTTAGATGAAGAGGATGATATCTCAAACCGTAAGGAGTATTAGGAAGGAAAGAAAGAACCAAAATAGGGAATGAGGTGGGCCAAATGTTTGGGGTAAAATTGGGTGATTACTTTAGAAAGGGTGACCAGGGAAGGCTTCCCTGAGGAATAACATTTAGCAGAGAACTAAAAGGAGAGATGGGGCCAGTGAAGAGATTAATGGGAGGTGAGAGGAGGAAGAGAGAACAGCCCAGAATTCAAGAGAATTCTAGAGACCTACCTTAGTTCTGTTTCTCATCCGCTTGCCTATTGTTGACCTTAACCTTGGGAACTAGAGGGACTCTTCCCACACTTATTTTATATTCTTTTCAGAAAGAAAAGCTACATTATTTATTTCGCTTACCAAAGAGAAGCTCAATGTCATGATTTCAAAGGAAAATCAGTTGTGCTACAGATTACTAATATTCCCCTTCCCGTGTAATTTTTTTTTTTCTGAGACAGAGTCTCGCTTCATCGCCCCAGCTCTGCTCAAGCAATCCTTCTGCCTCAGCCTCCCAAGTAGCTGGGACTACAGGTTCGTGCCACCATCCCAGCTAATTTTTCTATTTTTTTTAGTAGAGACAGAGTCTCGCTCTTGCTTAGGCTGGTCTTGAACTCCTGACCTCAATCCACGTAAGTTTTAATAATCAGTTTTCTTGGCATCCAGACCATATACAATGTCTTATATTTAATATTTCCTATTCAGCTTTTATATTAGGAGCCAAATTAGGAAAAGAAGAGATCCTTTAAACTTGACATCTAGGAATTCAAAGTAGGAGCCCTTTATTATTACATAGAAATCTATGTTTTTAATTTAATAATATGGTCCAAGAAACTTCTAAAAATAGTACAGTATGTTTTGTGGTTGTTGTTGCTCTCTCTAGCACATCATTTAGCACTCACAGTTGAATTTTGAAATGTATTTTCAAATGCCATTTCTGTCTGTCTAGGCACAACTACAGACCTTGGCTCCCCTATTACTAAGTCCTGTGCCCTTCAGAAGGTCAAATAGCACAATATAAAATCTTTGATATTAGACAATGCTTGAGACCCCCACATGTCCACAGACCACACTTTGAGAACCACACTCTGAGAACCACTCTGAGAACCACACTCACAGACCACACTCTGCTCTGAGCAAAAGGTTTTTCTTAACCAAACTCTCCTGTATGTCAACTTATTGATCAGTCACTACTCTAGTAAAAAAGATTAGAGCTTACTGTTTGGGTAGCAGAAGGTACAAAGCCACTGTGATACAAGGAGAAATGACCACTCTTCTTCTAGGATATTTATTGGACTCTAAAAATTAAGGCCTCGGTTCTAAATACTTCCTGGACAGATGGCAGAATGGTATTTTGGGATTGCATTATTGCAGGTCAATTTGAAGCTTATAAAAATACTCTGGATGTCATAGACATACCCATAGCTGTTTTAATGAGTTTTAAATAAAAGTCAGTTAATTTCAGTAGAACAAGTTCAGTTTTGTCTAAATGAGATGATGACTGAATTTTTGCTTATCAAAGTATTGTTTTGGCATCTAACATAACCACATTGGGGCTATAGTATTAGCCAGAGCCTAAATTGACATCCTCACTGTTAGTCTTAAAACAAAATTAATATTCCCCTGCTCTTCCCCTGCTTTAAAGTATCCATTAATTCCTTTTTGTCCACAGAAAGGTCCGAACTCCATAGACTGGCCTTCAAAGCTTCTCTCCTGCCTGGCCTCAGTGTGTCTTTCTTATTTCCCACTATACCCCCTGTCAGTCTTTGGCTCCCACCCCGCCTTCATCCTTATTGTCTCTTGAACTTGCCTCACTTGAAATGCCTTCTGTCCTATCTAATCAGGCCCCAAGGTCAGGTTGAAGTTCTAGGTCCCTGATAAATCTTCCCCCTCTGTAACTCCCCAATCCCTTGTGTCTGCATCCCTCATTTGGGTACCCCTTAATGACTAGAACAACAAATATTCGTTAGAACAATGAATTCTTTAGGAAGCAGTGTGGCCTGTTTCCATAACAACCAATAGCCATTGGAATTCCTGGCCTGAATTGCCAAGCAGGTTGTTGCTGCTGTGGCTGTTTCTTGCAGGATGATTTTCAGGTTAATTATAAGCCTAAGCAGACCCTCCTTTCTCCACGTAGCTGCTACCTTCTCCCCAAGACCCAGCAACAACAACTCTTTTCCCCCTGAGCTGGTGGTGTTTCTTGCTCATTTGCAAGGCAGTAGTTATGAGTGGGAGCAGGTGACAGCACTGACCACCATCTAAGGGGAAAAAATGTCCCCCAGAAGTGTACCATCTGCACCAAAAGGGAAGACGGCAAGGACGGAGCCAGGTGACCCTTTGCATATTGTGTGATTATTACCTTTCTGTTCATGAAGAAAGCAGCTCAGTAGCTGTTTATAGAGAAATACCTTTCAAAGGACTGAGAAGGGATCACACAGGGCAGGGCCAGATGATCAAAAGGATTGAAAAAGATTCTGTGGCCTTTGGTTGTTCACACACAAGGTATGAGAACCCGTGCCGATGTATAAGACTGCGACTCAATCATTGCCGAAAACAGAAAATTATTTGGAAAATGTAAAAATATCCTTTAAAGAGCCTCATTATGTCCCACTAACAGGCTCCTACAGTTTTTCACAATCTTTTCTGTACACTTCTTTTTTTTATTTCTTTTTTTTTTAATCTTTTCATTATTATCTTGTTCCCAATCTGTTTTGGCTTCTTTTTCCCTTCTTCATTTTTTATTGCCTACCTATGCCCTATAGGACATAGGCTAAATTTCTATTAATTCATATCCAGAGCCTTGGGAAGTGCTCCTATTTGGAAAACACACCTGACTTGTCAGGTGAGGTGTGACGTTAATGGCATAATGATCAAGACATCATTCAAAGGCCGCAGCCTACAGTGTGTCAAGGACACAGATGGCATTGTGTGTGTTGGCATTGGCGCTGTGATAAACTGTCTCTAAGTAGTGAGATTTGGAAAGTATTGAGGCAATATTTTATACTCTGTGTGTTTTTAACTAAGGAAAACTGGAGAAATGAGAATTTTGGGTTAAAACTCAATACTTCCATACCTGTCACTGTTTCATTATTACCCTGTTATTAGAGAACTAGGAATTAATCTTTTAAAGTATTAATATCTACTTGGGGCACAGCATGAGCACTTTTGATGGAATTGACTCACATTTTTGGTTAAATAGGAAAAAAACTGATTGTTTTAACTCAATGTAGCTGTAATAGCAGCCAACGTTTATTGAGCATTTGACACGTACTAGGCACTGCATGAAGCCCTTTGTAATGTTATCTTATCGAATGCTCATATATACACTATGGAGTAAGCACTGTTGCCATCCTGCCTTTTCCAGTAAGATATTAGAGAGTTAAATAATTTGCTAGTAAGTGGTAGATCTGGAGCACGCAAGCTTGGATTTTATCATTGGCAACAAGTGCTGCCAGTGCTGTTTTTTTTCCCTTGAAGTGACAGGCTTTATTTATTTTCAGGAAAATATCTGCCAGATACTCAAGTCTAAAAAACTATAGTTTATGTGTTAGATGGTCTTTCAGAA